CCACCGGCAGCAAGACGTTCGATTTTTAGGTTTTTTTCTATGATAAGAAATTATAAAATATATAAATTTATATTTTATAGGTATTCACCGTTTTCCTCATAATGATAAAAATATTTACCGTTGTTGTATTACAGTTTACAAATTTTTATTTTGCCAACTATAAGGGATTTACATTGTTTGTCCAAGCTTAACTTTAATCATTTAAGTCACAACTGTTATTTTGTATTATTTTGTACTATTATATTTCTAACCCAAAGACTAGCTATGATAAATTAGCGGTTCAAATACGGTAACGATGACAAGGTTATCAATTGGGGTCATTATTTTTTTTAATGGGAAATTGCTGTGCTACTGTGGCAAAAACCGAAAAATATTGATATTAAATTTAAATCTTCGCAAAGTCATGCAAACGAATTGATTGACAAAGTATAAAAAATCTAATGCTACCATTATTTAAAATTTGTTTAGGTATTATGGAATTAAAAAAAACACGATCCTATTTGGAAAAAAAAAAACTAAATCCAAACATTTTTTAATAATAAGGGAAGAATGTAAACCTTTATTAAATATTGAAAAAAATCTATCTACAAGTATGGGAAACAAATTGTTTTCAAAATATCTATAGTTTCCAAGAAAACGAGTGACCTACATCAAATGGATCACGCTGTATTGTATAAGCATTTAAGTTCAAAACTACAAAGATATATATTACCTATTAGTTTATCTATTAGGTTACCTTACATGGAAGCTTATCTATACATATATAAAAATGAATTCTTACTTTCCGAAAATTCCACCGTATGGCCTCAAACACGAACTTTGTACTTTAAATGCGAAATATTTTGTTTGTAACCACGGTAACCCAAAATAAACACTTGGTATGTAACCATGGTAACCACGGTTACTCGAGCAAATGATAGGTGATGATTAAAGGAACAGGCCGATTCTATGTGCCACGATTCTGGGGATGATTTTAACTGTTGAAACGGGATCTGGGACTGAGACTGGGACCCTTGAGTAAGAAGAGGACATAATAACTGTAAAAAGTGTCACAAAAACGCTGTCACGCCATTGTTATCTGATAAGAGATAAGAAATTAGAGATTAGGGGTGGGGAAGGGAATGTGGGATTGGGAATGATTTTACTCAGCCCCGGCAGACTAAATCTCGCCGGGTCCAGACAGCTTGTAACTTGATAAAAATCAAGTAAAACTTTGATTTTTCGAACATCTTATGTTTGTTGTACTATTTTAAGTATGCGTCATCTGCATAAACTCATTTATCATAATTTTTCACAGTGCAAAACTGCAAAAAATATTCTTCTTACGATATAATATTATATTGTTTGTAGAATATCCTACAGATATATGTTATTACTTATTTACATTGCTACATGCGTGGTAAAATTAAACATAAGGTTTAATAAAAAACTGCTTTTAATCACTTTTGTGTGGCCATTTTAAAATGTATTTTAAAAATTACCCAAATTTGATTTAAAATTTAGTATAGTTTGACCCGGTTACATAAGAGTTAAGAAATTGCAACCAATATACGTTACTAACTATTTGTTTTCAATGAAATTCCAACTGCAAACAATTTACATTTTTTTTTTTTTAATAGCCTTTATTAAAAAATATGATGGCTTAACAAGTTACGTTACTAAATTTTTTTTTTAAATGAAATTCCAACTGAATTATTAACATTATACAATGAGGCCTCTAATTTATTTGATAAAAAATATTGCAAATATTTTTTTTCAGTTAAATTAATAAAACATAATAATTTGTCTACAAATCACACTAAAATAAAATGATTATTTTTTTCTTAAACAAGGATTACTATTTTCAAACAAACCTTTTAAAGTATTATTACTTTTAATCTAAAAAAAATTAACGGGTTCGGCGTTAGCTGTTATTTGTTTTTTTTTTCAGATCCTCTATTTCAAAAATTATTTAAAATAAAATAAAGAACGATTCTTTTGGTTTGTAAGTTTTTTTTTTTAATTTTGAGTTTTTATATTACAATATATCTTGGATGTGTTGATTGTTATTTTATTAGAGAAATGCACAAAAAACCTAACATGTTAAGAAACATGTATTTGTTCACACTGGTGAGAAACCACACAAATGTACTGTCTGCGATAAATCATTTGCCTATAACATTTGCCTAGACTTAATGTTACTATTTTGCACTTAAGAATCTTGATTTTTATAATTTTTTTTTTGTTTTTCTCGTGTATTTGTTTTAGTTATTTTTTAGCTATAATTGACGAATTAATTTTGCAAATCATCATCGTCCAACCTAACTTGATATTGTTTTAAAATGTATTTTCTACATTAGTTATGGTTTTTATAACTTTATTTTTATTAATTATTATGGATTGAATGGAATATTATTAATATGTATACCTGTAACACGATTTGCTGTCCACAACTTATAAGGTAAGTTAAACAAAAAAGAATATTAGTTTGATTAGACACAAATTTAATGTTCGAAAACTAAGTTTATAAATAATACAATTTATTTTAGATTGAGTAATATTATTAAATTTATGATTTTTCAACATTGAATTGTAGCATATAAGTATGACAAAGAGAGCAATGGAGTTTTTCTTAAATATGATGATGGCAGTTAAGTAAATTGGGTTATTGTATTGTTATTGCATATTATTTTAACGGAAATAATTTTACTTCCCGAATTTATTTTAGTCAGTATGAAATAATAAAAATTCAAAATTATGGTAAGCATAATTTTTATTTACTTATAATTTATAAATACATTATTTATTTGTTGCACTTACTATTTTAAATGTGCATGTTTACATCAAGTCAAAACCAGTTAACACAATTTGTATCTTGATTTTGCATATAAATAAAAGAATAAAAGTGGCATTTTATCATTTTAATAATGAAAATTCAATAATAGGTATTCTAAATATAGTACTATATATAGTATTACAGTAGAACAATTTGATAACAAAAAGTATAACTTTCGATGATTAATATAATATAAAATGTCAAAATATAATTTAAAAAAAAATCATTTAAAAATATTATTACATGATCCTAATTTGAAATTGACGCGCTAATACGTTTAAATGATTTGATAGTTGCAAAATTAAACTACCAGACAGTGCCACATGATTGTCTGATTTACTATGAGTACTTTAGTGGCCATTTTTCTGCCATGAACGATATTGGTCGTTTCCCGTTGGGCAGCCATATTATCTTTAATGCTGGTTTTTATCATACATTTTCAGTTGTCAGAAAAACTGCATTCGTCAGGTCTTTTGCACATTTTTATTTTTCCTTCACATAATAGCTGATGTAAACCCGTATACTTTACTCACAAAATAATATTTTGTTATGTATTATTTCTCGTGTTTAGTATTTACTATGTTGAACTATCGAATGAGCTGCTAAACGTAAGTACTTTATTATATTTTAATATTGATAGTAAGTTCTGCGCAGACTTAATACAAATAAATGGCAATTTGATTTTTAATATTGTGCGCATCGCTATACGATTATTAAATATTTGTGCTGAATAAAAATCACCTAATTATGATAAACTGCTCGAATTGGGATCACTTAAGCTGTTATTGGACATTTCCATCATATTTTATATAATTTGATTAAGTATTTTTTATTCGTTTGCAGAGGAAAGAGTGTTATTATGGGTAGCTGTTCTTATCTAGGTTTAATTATCGTTGGATTAAGTATGGCTATTTAGTTCCGCAAGTACAAATGCACACGATCTGATAATTATGTTGTATGCAAATTATGTTACTTTGTTTTATTCCAAACTTTTAATTAGACATTTTGATTTTAAATAAATTTTTTTTTTTATCCTTATGTTAACGGTTCTTATTTACGGTTTTTAACATGGTTTTGTGTACATATATTAGTTGTTATACATACATTTAAATACAAAAAAAAGTAGATAACTATAAAATTATGCTAGAACATTATGGTTATTTATTATTTTTTATGAAATATAGTGTAAAAAATGTGTTTTAAATTTAAAAACAATTTGTGTAACTCTTATAACCAGTAAAAAAATAGGGTTACATCATATATTATAGACTACATTATTACATTGATAGATTCTAATTATTTTCCACGTACTTCTCAATGAATAAATCCTTGTATAATTTAACTTGCTTTTTGTTTTTGTTAAAACGATATAACTAATAATAAGTATGAAGAAACTAAACTCAGAAGCAGTTAATATTATAAAATCTAGAGCAGCTTTCTACTGTTTAAGTTTATTTAATCATTCATTATATCCTTTTACACACTTATCACTATAATTTTAAAAGTATATAAATGTGTTCTTATATACCAAACATAACCTCAGTATTTACATTTTTGTTATTAGCAATTCAAACAGCGTGACGAAGATTAATTTGAAGTAATATAAAACTAATATTTCGAAGGCAAGATAGAAATCTAGATTTACCAGTCATTATGGATAAACATATGGAACCTCTTTCCACTGGGTAAGTCTAATTTCTATCGCAATTTTAATTATGAGCTGATTGTCTTAAATTTAAATCATTTAAATGTCCAATTTTTTCTAATAATCATGCGTGGAAAAGAGAAATTTGTTGTTTTGTAGATTAGGAGTATTTGATTTATTTCTACATACATTCTTTTCAGTGAATTATCGCAATTTTATTGTTTGTCATTACTTTAGATGTAATAAATTGTTCATTTTATTTTTTTTAGTTTTGTTGAATCAAACTACGACACGACAAGTATTAAAAATGGAAAAAACTGACGTTAACAACATTTCAATTTCCACAAATTCAATTCCAGAACTGCTGTCTATTGAGTAAGTCTATTTGTTAGCTGTTGTGACATAAGTCATAAACATCATTATTAATATAACAAATTTCTCCTTCAACTTAAACTTTGATAATATATTTTAAGAGTCAACAAAATATAACCTCATTACTCCTCTACAAATTTGATTTTTAATTTTAGCAAACCAAACACCATGTCTGTAAATAAATGGGAGGTCGACGATATTGATAATGATTGTTATTTCAAATCTACGATACAAATTGAAGAAAATCAAGGTATAGCACTTATTAAGGATGAATATTTGAATACTCTTTCTACAGAGTAAGTGCAATTTTACTATCATCATTTTAATAATCACAAAAGAAAAAAACCACTATATACGGGGTGATCCACTTAACGTATGTCATTAAAATACTTAAAGAATAATTGAAATATTGTATTTTTTTCTTTTAAAAATAATTTTTAATTGTTATATTTGTTTTAGTTTAAACTGATGACTACATCAGTCTTAGTTTTTCTCAAGCACTTAAAAGAAATTTAAATGATTTCGTATAAATTTAACAATTACAACTTTGAAAATAAAGTGAAAATAGCTGTCAATTGGTTTTTGATAATTTTCATTGATAGATTCTAATATTCTTATACATTTCTTATGAATTTCTCAGTGATGAAATTCTTATATATAAGTACATTTTTTTTAGGTTTTATTGAAGCGATACCTACAAGTACTGTTATCATTTTGATAATCACAAAACAAAAAAACTAATTAAAACCATTAAAACATAGTTTTTTATCAGAACTTTTTGTCGCCCAAATGTTTTGAATTAGTATAATATGTTTTCAGGTATCTAAAAAAATTCTACATAAAGTGTGTAATTAATATTGAGATCTCTAAAAAAAGTTTTTAAACAAAAAGAAGTTCTTTAGATTAGAGAAATTGGATTTCTTTATAAATACATCTCAATGAGTAAATCCTAATCTAAATCTTTGTGTTTATCATTACCTACTATTAATAAATGTTAAGAACATTGTTATATAATATGTTTTACTTGTTTCTTTAAGTTTTGTTAGATCAGATTTCGATACAACGAGTATTAATAATAAAGAAACACCAGTTAGAAAAACAAACACCGTGGTTGTAATTAAACAGGAGGTCGATGAAATCAATAATGATTATTTTTTTGTGACTGAGATAAAAATTGAAGAAAATCAAGATTTAGCTGTTGTAAAAGACGAATATGTGGACACTCTTTCAACTAGGTAAGTCCATGTTTTTGATCATCGTTTACATAATCAGAAAACAATAAACCCGGTTTTAATTCCTTTGCGGAATACTTACTTTAGATAAATGGTTCTTAATAATGTAATATAATAATATAAATATAATAATAAATGCTTGGATATAATATTATTTAGTAGTTTATGCCCAAAATAACTTGGCATGTAATGATAAAATAATAAGTATTTACATCAACCCAAACTTCAAAAATACATTTTGGGAGATACAAAAATATATAAACTTATAACTCTACAAAGGTTAATTTTTATTGATAGCAAACCAAACACAATGTCTGTAAATAAATGGGAGGTTGATGAAGTCGATAATGAATGTTATTTCAAATCTACAATACAAATTGAAGAAAATCAAGATATAGCACTAATCAAGGGTGAATATGCGAATACTCTTTCTACTGCGTAAGTACAATTTTATTGTCGTCATTTTGATAATCACAAAACAAAAAAACTAACACTCAATTATGTTGGTAAAAAATCAAAATAGAAACAAATGTTTGGACCAAATTCTACCGATTATTTTGAAAATTCCACAGCATGTCTGTTACGATGAGAATAAATGTTCTCAATTTTTTAAGATTTTTTTTTCTATTGTTTTGGCCATAATCGTAAAAAGTGTTTTGTTTTTTGTTTTTATACTGACACCTTTTTTTATTGTTTGTATTTGTACATTTTAAGAAATTAAAAAAAAAATATATACTAAAAATCAGTTGATCGTGTAAAATGAACTCAGTTTTTTTAAAAAAAAATTTCTTCTTCTTTTTGCTTAAAACAAAACCGTTAAATTTAGTTTATGATCTAAAAAGTTGTATTTTTTTAGGTATATGCTCTGTATTTTTGTATTATTCTGTATTATTATCTGATATATATATAGTATTTAAAATTTAAATTTGTTTAATAATTGGGTATATGTATTAAAAGAAGTTCTTAAGATTACATTTTAACGAGTATATCCTAATCTACACATTTGTAATTATCATTACCTACTATACATTTTAGGAATGTTGTTATATGATTTTTTAAATTTATTTCTTTAAGTTTTGTTGCATCAGACATCGATACAAGTATTAAAAATAAAGACACATCAGTTAGAAAACCAAACACCGTGGCTGTTACTAAACAGGAGGTCGATGAAATCGATAATGATTGTTTTTTTGAGCCTGAGATAGAAATTGGAGAAAACCAAGATTTAGCAGTTATCAAGGACGAAGATGTGCATCCTCGTTACACAAAGTAAGAATTGTATAAAAATAGAAAAGATGTACTAATATTAAGTTATTAACATAATGTTTGTATAATTATTTTGTTTAGTACTACACTCATTAGAAATATGAAATACAATCAAATTCAAACTGAAGAATTTCCATCCAGATCAATTAAAAAGTGCAATATGAAACACACAGCCGAGAAACCATTTGATTGTGAATTAGGATTGAAAACATGTCCATCTGTGGATTTAAATAAACACAGAAAGCCACAAACAGGCAAGAGAGCTTTTCAATGTGAGACATGTAAAAAATCATTTTCACGATTTGAAACTCTTAAAACTCACATTAGGACACATACTGGCAAGGAAGGGCCTTTTCAATGTGAAATATGCAAGAAATCATTTTCACGATCTGATACTCTGAAAATTCACGAAAGGACGCACACAGGCGAAAAACCTTTTCAATGTGAGATATGCAAGAAGAGATTTTCACATTCTGGAAATCTAAGTACGCACTATAGGACACATACAGGTGAGAAGCCTTTTCAATGTATGATATGTAAGATGTCATTTTCACAATCTGGACAACTAAATAGGCACACAAGGACACATAATGGCGAGAGGCCTTTTCAATGCGATATATGCAAGAAGACATTTTCACTATTACAACATCTTAAATATCACACAATGGCACACACGGGCGAGAAACATTTTCAATGTGAGATATGTAAGAAGACATTTTCACTTTCTGGACATCTTAAAACACACAAAATGACACATACTGGTGAGAGGCCTTTTCAATGTGATGTATGCAAGAAATCATTTTCACGATCTGAAAATCTGAAAATGCATAAAAGAACGCACACAGGTGAGAAACCCTTTCAATGTGACACGTGTAAGAAGACATTTTCACATTCTGGAAATCTAAATAAGCACAATAGGACGCATACAGGCGAAAAACCTTTTCAATGTGAGACATGTAAGAAGACATTTTTACTTTGTGGAAATTTAAATAAGCACAAAATGACACATACTGGTCAGAGGCCTTTTCAATGTGATGTATGCAAGAAGATATTTTCACAACCTGTAAATCTAAATATGCACAAAACAACACATACTGGTGAGAGGCCTTTTCAATGTGAGATATGTAAGAAGAAATTTTCGAAATCTGGAGATCTAAATAGGCACAAAATAACACACACTGGTGAGAGGCCTTTTCAATGTGATGTTTGCAAGAAGACATTTTCAAAATCTGTAGATCTAAATAGGCACAAAATGACACATACTGGTGAGAAACCTTTTCAATGCGAGATATGCAAGATGCCATTTTCACAACTAACACATCTTAAAACACACAAAATGACACATACTGGTGAGAAACCTTTTCAATGTGATGTATGTAAGAAGATATTTTCACAACCTGTAAATCTAAATATGCACAAAATGACACATACTGGTTAGAAACCTTTTCAATGTGATGTATGTAAGAAGACATTTTCACAATCTGGAAATCTAAATAAGCACAATAGGACGCATACAGGCGAAAAACCTTTTCAAAGTGAGACATGTAAGAAGACATTTTCACAATTTGGACAACTAAATTACCACATAAGGACACATACATGCTAAAAACATTATCAATGTGAGATTTGTAAGAAGACATTTTATCATTCTAGAAATCTAAATATACACAAAAACTCACATACTGGTAAGAGGTCTTTTCAATGTTAGATATGTAAAAAGACATTTTCACAATTCGGATGTCTTAATAAGCATATAATGATACATTCGGGTGAAAGGTTTTCAGTGTCAATCATGCCTAAATATGTTTGGAAATCTAACCAGTTATAAAATAATTAAAACTGTCTGGGGTAACCCGTAAATTTTTTAGTAAATACATTTTAATATTCTATTTGTTTTCTTTCATTCTATTCTTTATATATTGTTGTATTTAATTGCCATCAACTTGTATATATTTTCTGAATTGTATTTTAGTTATAAATCTTAATAAAAACTAGAATTTACTAATTTAAACTAATTTATTTAAAAATAAATTGCCAACAGTATGATATGATTCGATATATTTGATTCGATCTTGTGCACAACTTAATTTGTGATATTTTTGCATGAAACTTACATTTGTAACGTAAATATAAATGAGAACTTAATAATTTAGTTTCATGTTAAATTATTTATTTAATCAACCCCTAATGTTCAAATAAAATAACTACAAACTATCTGATATAGGGCGTTTATAGAGTTTGGTTTTTAATCATAACTAGTAGTAGTAATAAGTGTATGTATCTTTGGCCATGTTTACATAATTAGAATTCTAAGTTCTTTTAGTTCTAATAATTATACTTGTACAATAAAAATCGTACTTGAAAGGTACTTTATTAGACTAAACATTTAAAAAGTTTACCTATTCTCCTTAAAAATCTATAAAAACGCAATAAAAGCTGTTTGTGCAATTTATTTAAAACTACACACAATATATTTTTTTTTTAAATAGTCAAGTTAGACCTAAAGGTATCCGTAACTCGGGTTGGCTTATTTTCTATATTTACGTAACGGTCATTGAAGGACAAAGTAGATGTAGAGTGAACATTTTTTTTAATAACTATATCAATATTATTAATTGAGTAATAACGTTTCAAATTATTTTCAAATAATTTCATCAAAACGCTTTAATTTATGGAATTATCTAAATAGTTAAGTGTTAATGACTTTTTTCATTGTAAATTGTAGTTTTCATAATAAAATAGATTTGCGCAAAATAAAAGAGTTTTAAATTTGTAATATCACAACATTTTAATAGTCAATAAAAAAAACTATAGTTTCTTTTAATAAAATATTTCAACAAAACAAAACAGATAATAATTTATTAGCAATGCGTGTATCAGGCTTACCTAATCAGAACGCCGTCGTATTGTGTTATTATTATCACAATGAAAGCTGTATGTCGTCATGTGTAATCACAAACAATATAAATAAAATATAATTATCAAACTTATACTTATTCTTCAATTTTGTGTTATAATATAATTGTTAGTCGTCAACAAATATTCATGCAAAAATGTGTACATTAAAGTGTTAAGCCATAGTTATTTAAAATAGCTACTACAAAAAAGAAACACGTTGATATGAGTGGTTTTTGATAGAGACGTCAAAAAAAGTACACTATGCTATAACTTGATTTTCCAGCATTTTTATGAAAAACTTTTTTATGGAAGATTTTAACTTGAAAATACTTTTTACATGATGTGTTAAAAAACACATTTTGAATATATTCGCCATATATGAACCATACATAGATTGACATGTTTTAAATAACATTTATAAATCATTTTACGAAGAAAATCTTTATTCGAAATAATAAAAACATGTTTAGATTTATTTTGAAAGGGTTTGGTGGACGCGTTCAAGGATGTTGTAAGTATAGTTACTACAAGGAGATTACCTGTCAGGAAGATGCTGGCGTTACTCTGTGGATTTTAGTTATTCGACAACTTTCTGTTGGCCGGCGTCTGATTAGTAAAGTTAGTTAAAAGAACTAGTAACTGAATTTCAATTATCAGATCATTCGGGGGATAAACCATTTAATTGGGTGACAACGAATAAACAAAACGATAATAATATTGCACAGAACAGCGAAAAATCATTGAAAAATATGAAACCATGTGATTCTAAAGAAACATATAGTAGTATTTCGATGGGCTACAACGAAAACACAATCGATGGAAACACGATAAGGTAATATGATTTATTTAAGATACATTTTTTTTTATAACACTATATCTTGAATGTATTTATTGTCCTTGTATTAGGGAAATGTGCAACAAACCCAACATAAAAGTCGAGGTAGATATTATTTGTGGTTAAAGGTTCGAACCGGTTAGTTTGCCTAAAATTGTTATGTTTATCGGTAGTACTATATCTTAAGAATTTCCATACAAATGTGGAAACAAGTGGACTTTTATAAAATAAGATATGGAGCGAATTTTAAGTTGAAAAAAAAATTTTCGGGTGTTTTTTTCGATTTTAAAGGGAAAGATATAAATAATTTATATTTATAGTCTTGTAAAGTACCTTACAGGTACGATTTCTGATCTTAAGAGCTCCTATAGGAAGAAATCAGTTAAGTGGCTTAAATGATATCGTGGGTGACAGAAATATAAAAAAGCAAAATAAAAACACATCACTTTAAGTACAATACCTTCTCAGCTATCGCATCGGATCTAATAATATTTAACATTATTTAATGTAATCTAAGTCCTTCAGTTTAACAATGTACAGCTTTATAATTATTTTATTTTTTCTATCCTTTTATAAAATTTAAACAATAAAACATTCTTTGTTAAAATATGCATGAATTTTCGAGCCTTAATAATGATTGTTAATTCCTATAATTCACATTTGTCCTCTATACTTTCTCCAGTTTTTTTAACAATTAACAAATTCTTAATTTAATAATACAATTTTATTTACAGTAAAATGTGCACGCAAAGCAGCATGTCTTATAACATCTCTAAAAATACTGTACTCAACCCTTATATGTTTTTATTATAAGATCCATTGAAACTACCGTTGTGTTTTCCAAACTTGATGAAGGGAAATTCGTTTTTTTTTTACATTTATACATATTTTAAAAAATGTAAGGAATAATCTACTAAGCAACTTCGGTCCTTCGAATAAAATTATTTTTTAATAGATTGACAGTATTAACAATAATATTTAAGAGATCCAAATGTCTAATGAGCAATTTTTATTAAAGTATAAAATAAGACATTAAATTAAAACACTGAATAGCAAGCAGAGCTGTGCATTATTCGAAAATAAAAAGTTATCTAAATTATCATCTAAGTAAAAAATGATTCTAATGAAAATGATTCGAATAACTTTAAATCATATTCAAGTATATTGGAATACATTTCTAGTGCGGTTTTCAACTAAATTTTTTTAAAAAACATGATTTTGTTTAAATATGAAGAAAAAGAAATACTATTTAACTACGCTGGAAATTTTTTCATACTGGACCAAATCCTTCGAGTAGCAACTCTATAAATCGAAAACTTGTCAGGTTTTAGAACTCAAATGTATCCATAACATAATATTAGACGAAGGAAAAATTTTGAATTGATTTGATATATTTCTGTTTCAGTTACTTTCGTAGTGTTATATTATATTGCTAGCCAATTACACAAACGGTGGTATTATTGTTGCTATATAATGTGAATAATAACAAAATAAAACAAATTAACATTTTTATCGTTTATTGTCATCAATTTTTGAGAGTGAAACATCTAATTAAAACGTGCAATTGGAATTTCCCCACAGGGAGATTGCTGTTATTTTTCGTATGTGACTCTTTGAGAAAAGACAGAGTTGTAATATGTAATTTACTACTTTATTAATAATAAGATCACGCCGAGCGGCGATTATAATTCCGACCATAATCGGTTCCATTTGCATATCAATCATACATTATATTATAATACAACATATATTCACTTGACGTTATAGTAATAGTAATACTAATTAATAATTACTAATTTAAGTCGGTTGTGTGCATTTATAGATAATCGTAAAGGACGACAAGACAATAAAGATAGTTCTCAATAATTAGTCACTAATTAATAATGCATTTATTTCATTGCGGCAAATATCGATATCAAAAAGAATGATCTCCGGTAAGTTTGTTATTATTATTTTTTAATTTACACTAATTTTAGATTTAATGATATTTTATTTGTTATTATTATTTATATTTAATATACTTATTATTAAAACATGAATAGTGTGTGGGGGGGGGGGGCTTACGGGCATTTGCACCAGCCAATTTTAAAATAATAATTATTAAGAGAAAATTTAGTATCTTAATAAAGTCATAGCTAATGAACAAATAAATGAAAATTCAAAATTCAAACGCTAAAAATTTTTTTATTTTTTGTCTACAATTGTATGTAATTAAAAACATATGTTGCCATTAAAAAACTAACTAAAATAACCTTTTTTGGCCTTCAAGGATTGGAAAAAAATATTGTTCAAAATATTAATATATTTCGAGAAAATTAGTGTCTTATCCTTAATTAATGTACTACGCTCTACTACCCTCTATGTACTACGCTATTATTATATATAATATTATTGCATTTATTACATGCAATTGATTTCAAAAATTAACCAAGAACAATTTTTTTTTTGAGGAAATGTCAAGTATTTGATGTTTCCGATGAAATGGAAACAGGCGCATTGCCGAATGCCGGGTCGAAAATAAATGAGTTATTTACAAATAATCTGTTAACGTTTAGTATTCACTCTAATAGTCTGTTTGTTTCAGGAATGACATATGTAAAGCAACAACACACCTCCAGAATGAATAATTGCCCAGAGTAGGCAAAAAAATAATTTTTAAACATTAAAATTTTTTTAAATAAAAATAATATTATATTTTACTTAAG